TTTTTTTTGCTCTGGTCATAAGTATCTTCGCTTCCTTGGTGACATGGTCCGTGTCTCCCTCATTATCTGATATAATGATAAATATCACAAGGGCTATTTTTTTTGGTGTGATGGTGGAGTGAGGTTTCATAATAATTCTATGTTTTAATGCGACTTTATGGTAATCCACTCTGGGAAATTGATTCTCTGTGTTTTACGAAGTTTTTCAATCCACGAATATATTACACTGTTTAGATTATCTCGTCTAGCATTTTTTCTTCATTTGTCCTCCAAATTGTTCTTTTCAATCTTCTTTCGACGAATAGCAATGAAGCCTTTATTGATCTTTGGGCTTCGTGGGACTCTTATAGAGCGCCTGTACACATCCAGGATCCCCAATGGGATGCCCACTCCAGACCTTACCGTTGGCATTACCAAAGTGTGGCTGCGGCCGCACCTCCTCTCTACGCTGCGGGCCCTGCAGGAGCACTGCAATTTGGCGGTGTGGAGTTCCACCACGGGGCGCAATACAAACCCGCTGGTCAATGCGGTGTTCAACTTTCATTCCATCAACCCCAGCCTATCCACCAATGACACGAAGGCTCCGGACTCCGCTGAGACCCCGTCGAGGTTCCGAAAACGTGGCGGAAAGACCTCGTCGGGGGGTAAAACGGGCGACGCTCCGGCAGGTTTGGAGCAGCCTCTGAAGTTTGAATTCATTTGGTCGCGAGAGCACACGTCGATCGACGAGTTCCGTCGTCGGAATTCGGTCGTTAATATTGACGCGCATGCCACGGTGAAGGACCTGAGCCGTGTCTTTCAGCAGTTTCCTGAAATTGCACAGCCTAGCAATACGATTATTATTGATGACACTCCTAGCAAATGCAAGCTTCAGGCGGATAATTATATTTGGCTTGACACGTGTGAAGAGCTCGCGATCCAAGATGAACATGGGATGAAGCTATTACAGTCTTTCATTATGGAGAAGATACTGCCAGCAAAGGATGTTCGGGGGCTGCTTCCAGTACGGATTTCTACAGCGCGTACGGACCCCAAGATATGAGTCCGGTGTGCTAGGGCAAGCAGGAACCATTATGTGGAGAAAAGTCTTCGTAATGCATGTAAGTGAATGTACCTTTTCTTTCCCCTTTGTCACAGAGGGGAGAGTTGTTTATCAATTTCTAGGTCTAACACGAGAATCTGCATTTAGTCTTACTGTTTTCTCCATTCAGAATATAAGAGGAAATTTCATATCTACTACATGCATACTTTATGAGTCGTATGAAGGTAACTTTTAAATGCAGCTGGATTTCAGGAGGGGGAAATGTTTTGTTCCATATAACGATGACGTGAAAAGCTATATCTCAATATCAATTTGTACACTAGCTCTTTTCGTTTGATTTGGTTTATCTTCGCTTTTTGTATATTCTTATTTCCACTTTTTGTCTTTGTTTTTCAATAAGGATCAACATATACGTCATTCGTTCTTGCGAACCATCCATCACTCAGTCACATACCTTTAGTATCTTGGGATATCCTTTCAACATAATACGATTTTGAAAAAATACAAATTTTCAAGGAACTCAAATATTAAAAAGAAAAAATGTCCATTGAAGTTGCAAAACGAGACATAGATATTGACTTAAGTAAGCTTATTGGCTTTAGTCTCACCTTCAATCCCCTGCAGCTTACCTTGCAGGAGATTCTGCAACGTCTCAAAGCACTCGAAGATCAAAACGAGGAGAAATCCGATGAGCTTGCCAAGCTCAAAAGTGAGCTGGATGAGTTACGTGATCAACAGCATGCGGAAAAGCAGAGGTCACGATCTATAGCAGAAGACAGACGCCTCGAGGAATCAAAGCCCGAAGATCACGACGACGACTCAGCAAAACCAAAGGATCTGAAAGACGAAGGAAATCAACTGTGCACTACTTCCGATCTTGATCCATTGTGGGCAGAGATTGAATCGTTGAAATCTCTCTTGGGTGAGCTAGCCGAGAACACCGAAAAGGATCGGCACACCATCGACGAACTCTATGCCGCGCGCAAGCGACTTGACAGCTGCGCGCTGCCGCTGTCTATTGAGCCTTCCGTAAAGCCTATGGACTCCCTCAGGGAGGATAGACAGGAGGATCAGCAGGAATATTCGGCCCATCGCCAGGGAGATGTGCGCACGGCCAGTCGACCGGACTCCGCCTTCAGCCACGATGGGATCGTGAGCACCATGTCGATGGGCGACAAAGTCCTTCGCAAGGCGCATGAGGAGCTACCAGAGCTAGCAAAGGGCAAGTCGTTCACCACCGATGGATCAGCCGTCCCCAGTGTTCGGCCGGAGTCCGGCGAGGAGTTCCAGTATACGCATCAATGGAACCAGCCTAACGCCGGCGACGTGGCCCTCGTCTCCGTGGAGGGCAGCGGCGAACAGTCCTCGTCGCAAAAATTATCCAATCTCGACTCCTACCGCGACGCGCGGTCCCGTTTGCAGAGCGCGTCCACCGGCGCCGCCGCCCACGATGACAAGTCCTCTTCGTCGGCCTTTCACGAACACAGGCCCTCGGTCACTGTCTCCGAACAATTAAAGCGGGACAGCCACGACATCGCCTACCTCAACCGCGTCGTGGCCGAGATTCTTGGTGAGATGAAGGAGCTGCACAACGACGTCGACTTCCTGCAGTCGACGTACCAGAGCAAACAGGGCGATACCGACTTTTCCGATGAGCTCCACAACGCCGACTCCACCCTCAAGCCGGACCGATCACTGCTCGATGAATCCAACCGGAACCTTAAACGGCGCGTGGATGCGATGGAGAAGGACAACCAACAGTCGATCGATTCCATCCAGAATCAACTGGACAAGCTCCAGAAGGGCCTGAAGACTGCCGCGCGACTTCAGGATGGCGATATTGACCACGCGCGGGGTGTGCCTGCTCTGAAGAACCGCCTGGGGGAGTTGGAGAACCGCCTCTCGGCGCTCGAACGGGGGGCTGAGGGCACCAACGAGAAGCTGTCCGAGGTCTTGAACTTTGCCAAGGCGGGTGAGGGCCAAGGGGAGGGCGGGGATTCCGGGATCAGCGGCGCGCAGTTTGCCCTTCTGAAGGGGGCGGTGCAGGCCTTGGAAAAGCAGCTCGCCGAGCTTCAGAACCGCGGCCCGGCCAAGGACTGGGGCGACGACCTCGCCCGCCTCGAGGGGGCGCTGGGCCGTCTGCAGGAGCAGGCCGCGGCGCTGGAGTTGGAGGCGCAGCGCAACGCCCGGGAGTGCGTGCGGCTGGAGAAGGTCAAGTCCGACCGCGACGGCGAGATCGCGGAGATGGCGGACAACCTGCGGACGCAGTCGGCCGCCCTGGACGGACTGCTCCGCGGCATGAAGACGCTGGAGGACGGGAAGGTGGGGGAGGACGATCTCGCGAAGCTCCGCAGCAACCTGAACGAACGGCTTCAGCATCTGGAGCAAGAGGGCGAACAGGCGAAACCGGGGAGCCGCGTGGCGCCGCGGTCGCCGTGGAGGAGG